CCAAAACTTGAAATTAAACTGTAGCACTATTCAGTATGATTCCAATAATAATTATATACATATACATATGAATTTGGTATTAAAATTTTTGAACTGAACTTAACGTCGTGTCACTTTGCCTGTTTCACACGTGCCCACCTATGGAGATAGTGGCGGTAAAACCTCTTTTTGAATGTTAAAGAAAAGGGCATACATATGTATGTAAATATTATTTAGTTTATACATTGTACATTGTTCTAAAATAAATAAATAAATAAATAAATAAATTGTAAACATAAATCGTCACTTTGCATTCTTTTTTTCCTCCAAAATCAATATATCCATGAATTTTTGTTTTATTAAACATGGAAGTTAAAATATTTTATATCTAAATACTACATTATTGAGAAGAATATTAATTACTTTTCGGCTTATACTTTCCATTACTGTAGATACTCTACCACGAATCTGACAAAGTTACTAATTCTTTTTAAATTTCCGCATGTTAAAATGGACAATAATATAAACACTTGCGTGTTTGAAATAAATATTTTTAGTACATACATATATAGAGAAGTATCCAATATTTTAAGCTTATCACGTATCGTCGCAGGTTTTAACTATACATTTAATTAAATATGCGCTAATGCAGACTATACTACACGCGCCATGCCAGCCAATGCGTTTGACTTTTCTTTGTGCAAGCATATTTATATATAGTATATATTTAACATTTAACTTTGCCTACTTTATATAAAAAAAAATCAATGACATTTGTGCATATTTTTTTCAAATTACAGCTACATATATAAGACATACATATATGCATTTGTTTACTCACTTTCACGCATAGGAAACAAAATATATGCCCACATGGCAAACGTGCTGGATGTATACATGTTTGTAAGCATATTGGGCACTCAATTGTAGCTGAAGGTCCTGCAGCGTCCTCAGCATCAGCCGACCTTTCATCCGGACTACTATCGACACATATAACTGCTGCCGCGGCGGCTGCTGCTGCTGCAGCTGATTTCGATGTGGATGCGGTCGGGGGGGTGGTATTGCATAGATCGATTACGGCATCAGTTGCATTGTTGGTGTTTTCATCTCGTGTTGTTACTGTTGTTGTGTCTGCTCCAAGTGGCATTGCAGTCACTGACGTAGTAGGAATTTGCAAATTTGTTTCAACCTCGTATGGTACAATAACTGGCACATTCGTTTCATTGTGCAGATCGGCCATTATTATTCTTGTTGCACCAGACGTTATTGTTGCGTTTATTTCTTGAGCCAGACTATCGCCTGTTTCCTCACTTGTCTCCATTTACAAAAACAAATTTCACTGGTGTACAACTTTCCACTTTGCTTTCAATATTGCTAAACACAATTAAAACAATATTGTTTCTTTCTTTGTTATTTGTTTGTTAATTAAGTATTTTGTTATTATTTATTGACTCCACATCTACACATCTACACTTCATCACCGCGTTGATTGCTTCTGACACGAAAATCAGCTCACACAAGTAATTTGTCATCAAATGGAAGAAAGAACTGTTTTATTTCAATATTTTTTTGTCAATTTCGCTCTGTTGCTTGCTGAATTCGCCGTAGTAGTTTGCAAACAGGTGGAGTAGTGAAGCGTATACCAGTAGATGGCGCTAAACTATATGAATGTTTTTGCTGCCGTATAAAAATTTTTTATGTTAGGAATAAAATAAATAGCTTTTGAAAGAGATATGGGAATTCATTATTTAAAACGATTTTTCATCGTTTCCATAACTTATTCTCTCTCATCTTTGCGAGTATTAAAATTCGCTGACACATATATGTACGTATTACGTCTACATACGCTAAACGCGATTAACACACATCTTAAAGCAAATAACAAATATTTTGTTGAATGCAACCCTACATAATGCTGCAATGCATGGCGGAAACGGAATTGTCATAATAAAGGGCTCTGCTGCTTTCCGGGATGTCATTATTTCCGTTCCGCTTTCGATTGCATTCCTCTTTTCACACACATTTGAACATACATGGCGGGAGTTTAATTAATCTTCGGAGAATATGCACGATTAAAATGCTGTCCATATACCCGAGAAATCGAGACTCGGAATCTGAAAACTAGTTAAATGTAATTTATGATCTTTTATACCCAATCATAATGAGAGCTCCCAACACTAAACAGCGTTGCTGCGTATTTTTTATGAGATCAGCTTTCTTGTAGTTTGCACAGCAAGCATACCGTGTCCTCAGTTTAGAGCATCTTTAAATGTGTATTATGCTTACCATGTATTTGGGCTGATTATCGCCGGAAGTTTAGATAATTCCCGGGGGTTTACCAGTCACACAATCGGCTGAATATCGCTTCATCGGTTGTAATTTCTCAATTTTATATATAATATATAACAGTCAAAAGCTTCTTACAACTGCACGGACTTTTACACACGTCTGTTTGCTATTGTCAACGGCTTAACCAGGCTGTACTGACAACACTGCTGAAAACTAAAAATCAAAAGCAAATTAAGCTTTCGCCTTCACTTGCGATAAAATTCAAAAAGCTTTGGCATAAGCTTCTGCTTTAAAGTGCTTTTCGTGCTTATTGTTGCCTCTGATGGCGTTTGCTGTCACTGATGCTTGTTTTACTTGGACACATGGTTGCTGCCGTCCTTGTTCTTCAAATGAATTTTTAAGGCCAAGTGCAAGTGACGAACCGAAAACTTTGACTCGTCCGTGGTAGCGCGTATACAACGGCGGTCGTTTATGAAATCAGTTTGATTGCCAGCTTGTTTGTGTGTGTCTTTGTGTGTGTGGCGATGAAATAAGCACAAAAGAACGTGCAAAAACTTTACTTAGTTTTTCTACATTCCATTTTGTGCACACTTTCGCATATCCAGAACTTCTACGCTGCGCACACTTCTCGACTCTATCAAGTGAATAAGTTATCTGCGGCAATGCGATACCTATTGCCAGCGTAATACAGCTCCAAAGCAACAACACAACCAGCCACAGACAACCACAATCATATCCTCATAGTCAGCGTGCGCTTAGTTGCCGTTGCCGTTGACGTTGTTTTTGTTGTTTTTTGTCATATATTTTATATATTTGCCTTCTTTTCATTTTATTAGGGTGTATGTGTGTGCTCTGTATTCTTGTTCTGTCACTGTGTTTCTGTGTCGTAGCCCCATTGTTGGTTTATTATGTATCTTGCGCCCTTGCCTTCTTCTGCCATCAATATTCTGTGTTCTGCCATCTATCGTCTATCGCACATTGTCGCCTTTCGCCCGTCGTGCCCGTACCTGTGCGTTTACTCGCTCACTTGGGGTTGCTCGCTATAGCGCTTTGCGTTCGCCTGTGTTCCCGTTCCGTTCGCAATCGTGTCAGTCGAGATTGAGAGTGCGAATTTGGCCTACAGACCTAATTTTCTGTCTGCAGCCAAAACAAACCCAATTAAATACCGAAAATCAGTGTAAAAATTTAAGTGAAAATAGTTTTTATTAAAAACAAATACATAAAACAAGTGCTACGCCATGTACGAAATACGAAATACGCAATAAAAATGATTTAAACAAGAAAAAAAAAATATAATACAAAATAAAAATGTAAGAAAGCAAGATAATTCTGCTACATTGGTGAATTGTGTGCGAATTGCACAATTGTAGAACTTTTTTTCTACACTTTACACACAAAATAAAAAAAAAAACAAAAAAAAAAAGATTAAAAGAAATACATATAATATATACACACATACAAATTGAAGAAGTGAAGTTGAGCGCAGTGTCAGTCGAGTCTATGTAGTGTATTTCTTCTGTGCCTTTGGGGTTGGGGAGCGTGGTGAAGTGGTTTGGCAGGAAGGAATTATCGCATATGCGTTCGGGAGCAGCCGCGAAGTCCGCGTTAGTTGAAACGTCAAGTAGTTGGTGGTGTTGGGCGAGTAATTGTGGTGCATAGTTGTTATTGTGTCATAGCTACAGTTGGACTGTTCCATATATACTAACGTACATGCATACATACATATGTATGTGCATACATATGAATGTATTTATGAATGTACCTCGCCTCCCACCTTGTTACCCAATCTAGTTATACTTAAATACATACGTACATACATACAAACATATGTGCGCTTGCAGCTGTGTATTCGACATGAAAGGCAGGCTCTTCTGGCTAGCGGAGACGCAAGACGTCAGAGCACGATAACTAGTTGTTACCGCTGCTGCTGCTGGTGCTGGTGCTGCTACAGCTGCAAGCATATTCGCAAAGATATTTTTTGAATTGGACTGCAATTTGCAATTCCATTCTGGAGCTTTCGCGGCGGTGCGGTTTTCAGTAATGTTTCTCTTGTTAATAAATGTGTGCTAATAGAACGGAAATAAAGCAAGAAAAAAACAAAAATAAAAAAAAGGTGAAATAAAGCGGTAAGAGAAGCAAGTTGCACACAGTGCTCTAGTGATATTCATCCGCCGCGGTGTACCATTTGTGATGAAAAAAAAAACAAATTCAATACCTAATTTTAGAGGTTAAAAGACAAAGTGACGAATGCTCTTTTTGTGAACTTTGCCAGGCTGGTGCACCAATTTCAGCCAACACTATGCTATAGTGCCAATTTCAATTAATTATCAGTGTATACACGAAAAGAACAGATGTGAATCCGCTCCAGACGTGTTTGTATGTGTACACCACAGACGCCTAGGTTAACCCAAGTCATCAACTTTATGCAGACGATGTCTCTAAATGACTACATATACATACATACATACATACATACATACACACACATGTACATATTACCTCAACACAGCAGCCAGCCAGTAACTGTAAGGAAGCTTATTTATAGTCAGCCAAGGATTGGCACTCCAGCAATACGGGCACATCATCATTGCAGTGAAAGGAAGCAACAACAGTTTGAAACAATTGCTCCGCTGGAAGTAGTCTGTGCATTGGAGACCAAGTATACTTACTGAATAACGTCTGGATATTGTCAGCGTACTCGTGGTGTGAAAATAAACTCGTATAAGGAAGAGGAATTGGATTACATTCTACCGTGTCCGTGTATCTCTATCTATCTTGTAGTGTGGTGCATAGAGAATGTGAAGTAGGCGAAAAAGTGTAAAAGAAGAAGAAGCAGAAGCAGAAGCAGACAACAACGAACAAGTAGAAACAGTGTAAGAGGAAACAAGTAAATATCCATTTAGAACAACTTAAGAGGGGTCAGTGCGGAAATACATATTGTACATCGAACACACACACACACACACACTTACAACTATTGTATTTAGCATTGTGCGTATACGAGTATATACATACATATAATAAAGAGCTTTTTGCAGCCCGCACACTACTATACACATACATACATACGTATTAGCTAAACGGGAACTGTTGCTTGAATAGAATGATGCTAGAGCAAGCGCTAAAGCGCGAAAGTGAATAAACGTTGTGGCTGACATAATAAACAATAAAGCAGGCGGGGAGAACAGTGGTGTTGGGCAGGCGGGTAGTATTAGTAGTAGTAGCAGCAGTAGCACAAAAATACTAATCATGCACATAGATACATACCCACACACATGCATATGCTTTTGTGCGCATACCGACAGAATCATAAATAAAAGCAAATAGCAAATTAAGGTAGCGAATTGATGTGTGAGTGAGCGAGATAGCGAGTGTAAAGCTGAAAGTGGAAGTAGAATTGGCAGTTAGAGCAACTTCTGGTATGCACATACATATATACATACATATAAATTTATATATATGTATGAATGCATGAGTGTGTATGCATGTGCAAATGGGCTTCGCTAGCACATACCCACACACAATTAATCGTTTATTTCATTGTTGTTGCCGGCAGTCGTCACTCAATTTGTATGTATGTATGTATGTATGCATGTATGTATGTATGGATGTGATAAAACGTACGGTTCGTCTCCCTCCTTTCCGTGTCCGCTTGCGTTGGCGTTCGCTCTGGCGGTTGCTTACGAATTGGTTAAGCACAAAATAGCGTCGATGGCAGCGCACAGTGCAACGACTTCATATACACGATGGGCAAATATGGGAGTGAACGGTTTTTTTTTTTTTTTTCAAATAAAGCATATTTTTTTTTTTTAATTTGAGCATGGAAAAATATAAATTTTTAAATCATAAATGAAATCGACGCAAAGTTGCGCGATAAAGACTACCTGAACAGACGCCTTTGAAGTCATCCTTGACTATAGGCCAATTGATATATGTACAAACAAGTGTTGTAGAAAGTAGCGCTAACAGCTAGCCGCCTAACTCTTCTATGTACACAGTTTACTCTAGTTACAAAATTGTGAAGGACATGGTGGCATTGAGAAAATCATATCGAAACTCGGGCTAAATGTAAAATCGAAAACCGAAAACCATCTGCCGGGTAGGTACCACCTACTCCTTCCCTAGTCGGGAGGATTGGACGGAAGGCGAATTCCTTGGGTAACAATGAAGATATCCATATCGATACTGCTGGGTCTAAATATGAGGCAGGCAAAGAGCCTAAGTTCTTTTGTGGTCACTCCTATAACCAATGTAGCTTCAAACTCAATGACTACAGCTCTGTTTTCCCAGCAGAGGTAGTGGGAATTACTTAAGGTGTCAAGTGGGGAATCTTCTATATTTTTGGTAGACACTCAAGCGATAGTTAAGTGTGACAATAAAAAAGTCCAAATGCGTTAGAACGATTAAAGCAAAAATTAAGAGGCAACCGCGGGAAAACACAGTGAGTATCATTTGAAACGCAGGTCATACGGACATAGAGGTCATTGAAGAGGCGCTGCCAAGGTTGTCATCCTTGACTATCTTCAGCGTCTTCAAATGTGGTTTAAAACAGTGGACCATAGAGAAATGCTAAAGGTTTTGGAACGTGGACAGACCGAACTGTTTCTTGTATTAAGTAAAAGAGAATTTAGCATTCTTATGGGTGTATTAAGTTGGCATCAACTTCTGAGATGTCATCTCCATAAGCTAGGTAAAGTGGAATAGGCTGGGTGCAGAGTATGTACAGATGATGGCGAAACGCTGGGGTACTACCTTTGCGTTTGTCCAGCCATGAACTGATTGAGACGTCACTTCTTCCACAATGCTCCCAGCTCTAACCTCACTGCGGTGGGCACGAATTGTTGGAAGAAACTTTCTATATTTACATAATCGAGAAAGATTTTTGCAAATGCCCAACTGAGACACATGAGGGAACACAATGAGCCTGTGCCGCCTGCGGTCAGGTTCTCGACCTCTCTCGTTCAAGTAACCAACCAAACTTTTGTTAAAACTATCCTTTTATTAGTACCCCGAAATTTTTTTCCTGTAAATTTGCTAGAAAATACTCATAGAAATAATATAAAATTAGTGTCAAAAGCCCGCAAGACCAAGAAGTAAGTATAGCATAGGGGAGAGCGGAGCGCTCCAAGCAGTAAATACGGCCGCTTGAGCATTTTAATCGCCTTTTTTTGAAATCTCTTTTTTTTCAACTGGGTGATACTCTTATTTAAAACCTATTGAACTTATCAACATGAACTAAATGACATTTTACTTCTAAAATGTCTCTCTGTAGTCGGTATTACAACCAAAAATATTCATTGTAATTTAAAAAAATTTATAAACACTTAAAAGTTGAAAAAAAAGGTAAAAAAATTATTATTACTTTTTTTTTAGTGAAAATGTTTCATTGTAGTTCCAGAATCAGAAACCGTTTTGATTTTTGCTTTCAGATGATATACTGATTACAGTAATCGTATTCACTCACCAACCAAAGGGACGTCTTTCAGCAGCAATTTTAAGAACCGCCTTTAAAAAAATTTAAACTTATTTTAATTAATATCTTTATACGTATACTTATCTTAAAAATTTATAATATATATATTTTTTCATATAACTAAAATTTGTTTCAAATAAATTAAATTGTTTTGAAAAACAAAACACGTTTTTTGGTGGAACCTGGTCTTAAAAGAATGATAAATATCCACTTTGAATGCACAAAGATTTAGCATTTACTTTCAACTTATGATAACGAAAGTCTTATTGGATCCGATAACCCTAAAAATTTTACATTGTTTTTTAAGGGCCGCTTTTCTGAGTGTCTGTTAAAATTAACTTCTCTTCAAACACGTTTCCGTTTTCTCGACTGTCTGTTTTGGTATGTGGCTGTTCAATTTAACAGGCGGTCAATGCACTGCTAAACATTTTTTTTTACCGACAGCGACATCTTTTCTATTTACAAACAGAAAACAGCTGATTTGCGAATTTGTTTATTTTCCATTACAATAATATATAAATACAATGGTAAACAGGCGGGTATTTTATTTTCATGAGCTTGAAGAAAGGTTTGAAGAGGCTTCTGTGCGCCATATTGTTAAGAGAGATTTAATAGAATTTATTTTATTTAAATTCGCAGCACTGCCACCCTGTATCGAATAATAAATAAACATTTAATAGGAGGTCGAGAAAATGAAAACGAATTTATCAACCGTTAAGTTTAATTGCCTTAAAAAACATTCCTAATAGTTTTTGTATTTTTTCAAAAAATTGTTTATCCTCAGAAAACGTACATATAATTATTTTAAGAAAATTTTCTTAGTTTCAAAAATATTAATTTTTATTGGCAATTTCCATAGTTAATTTATTTAGTAAAAATAAAAAAAATTAAAAATTCCTTAAATAATTCAAGCCCTCAAACGTTCATTTCATTGCATTTTTGACCACTGTGCGCCAACAGTCAATCACAATCACAAACATCATAGCAGCTTTTCGCATAGATCGTACACGCACACACACACACACACACACGCACACATGTCTACCTTCCATTCGTATCGCGTGCTTTAATTTCGATCTTGCTTACCACTGCTGTTTATTCAACAATTATTTTCCTACTCGTTTGGCATGGTAATTATTATTATTTATTTGCCTTTTTCGTATCTACACGGCACTTTTAGACAGGCATTTTAGACATACATATAGTTGTTTGTGCATATGTACATACATAAGCGCATTGTATTTATGTATTTACTTTTGCTTTTACTTTGCTTAAGAGCTTTATCACATTTTTTACTATGCACAGACGGTGTGTTCCAACGTCCGTACGGCGGTCCAACCCTCCAATAGTGTTGTACGAGTACAAAAGTTTTATATGGCAACGACAACAACAACAATGGCAGCAACACAAATGGTATTCTTCGCTCTTTCATGTTTGCTATTTATTTGTATGCATGTGATTGTGGTTGTTGTTGTTGTTGTTGTTGTTGTTGTTGTTGTTGTCGTCGTCTTTTTTTTCATACATACCGAAATACATTTGTGCGTCTGTTTATGCATTCCTGTTTCCTCCTCAACATAATTCTTATTGACTTCATCACACACTCGTTTGTAGTTTGCTTTGCTTTGCTTTACTTTGCGTCTTGCGAAATTTTCTGCTCATCCGTTTTGCTATTATTTTCGCGTCGTTCACACTCGATTTCTTGTGACAGTAACATACACACACACACACATACACACACACACGCTCGCAAACAAACACAAAAGTACAGAAGTATGTACGTATGTATGTATGGGTGTAAGCTTTTTCGTTCATTCGCTGATTCGTCGCTGCGTGTGCTTCTATGTATGTACATATGTACGTGTATGTATGTGTGTATGCATGTAAGCAGTGTGTATAGAAAAGCATGAAGAAAACAACAAGTAGAAAACAACAACTGGACGAACACTTTTGCTTTCGGTCTTAACTGGATTTCTTTAGATGCTTCTTCCTCTTCCTCTTCTTCTTCATCTTCTTTTTCTTTGGCTTACTCTTCCAACACAACAACTTCATTGTTAATGCATTCTAGTTGTGTAGTGATGTTGTGTTATGACCATTGTTGTTGGTTGGTAATGCTGTTGTTGCTTTTCGTCATCTTCTTCTTTTTCAGTTTTTTATTCTTTTGTTGTTGTTGTTGTTGTTGTTTTGCGCTGTGTACTGTGTACTACTTTGGGCTTTCGATGTGCTAAAATAGTCAGAAACGGCGCATAATAACAGCGTGTAGAACGCATGTGCAGCGGTTTGCGGTTTTATGGTCGTTCGTGTGGACAGTGCCGACAGCAGCAACAATAACCACCGCTGCATACATGCATACTCACATACATATGTATGTATGTGTATAAGCAGTGCTTTATTTTTAGTGAAACTTGGATTATTAGGTAAGCAGCGCTTCGTTTGATGGACTTCTCGTTTTGCGAAATTCTCACAAAAGCAGATTTTAACCCTTGCATAGCAGTAAACTGAGATTTACGTTAAAAGAGGAGGTTATCAATTCTTTTTAGGCTCGAAAATTTTACTCCTTAGTTTATTATTCTCATAAAGACGCCTTAGATTAGTTTAGGTTGTGGTGGCTGCTAGCCTCGTTTAGGAGCAGGCTAATTCATCGAGGTCCTCTAATGGGAGGTGCGGGAAATGAGCTGTTTCGATAGTATCGGACCAGAGGAAAGAGTGAGTTAAAGTTCTGTAGGTTTTAGGGAGAACACAATGAGGTATTTACTGTCGTGTGGGGCGTCCTTGCATGCAACCCACTACCATCTGGCACATACATACATTGGATATGCCATTGTCAAGTCTGAATAGTTAGGAGTTCAATCTACTAAATCCTATTTGTGCCAGTATTTCGCAGAGCTCTCAAGGCAGCTCGAGCTCTTCGACTGCAACGGGTGACTCCTTGAGTGCCATGCACTAGAAGAGAGTTCAGTGAGGTACTGACGGACACTGGGTGAATGGCATTTAATATCTGTGGGTTAGCCGTTCATGTTAACGTTTTTGTTATAACTGCAAAAATATTCCCCAAAGTAGTTTTAATGGAATGCTGGAGGACTGACAGTCCTTGGCTGGTTAAAAATACGGGTCGTTCTTGTATAAAGACCTGACTGTCGCGAGAACTATTGCATTTTGGCCGCCTCTTACGACAGACATGCCTTACCGCGGTTAAATTCTTGAACCTCTATACAGCGGTTATTGTAGGTGGCGCTGAATGCAATTCTTAAACTCAAGTACTTCCTTTCTGAGTAGCCTGGATGGTGGTTTAGGTTCCAGTAAGTGTCTGTTGTTATAGAATCTCAGCAGGAATTGCTCCTTAACTCGTAGCAAGGATGCTTCACGGTGCTAGTGATGCCACTATCCTGAGGGCGGTATTTTGCCAGGCTCGCAGCTTCTTTAGCTGCGTCTCGCTAGTCCACGGCACCCAGAATGTTACAGCGTAGTTTACGACCGGCCAATTACTTTGTTGCCGAACTATCGCATCGATTACACTTAAACTCAACAAAGACGCATTGAGATGCCAAAAAAAAATTTTACCAATAATAGTCGTTTCATCGATTCTATGATGCACCTCATTAGGTACATAACTTTTACGTCGGCTATCTACTTAGCCCCAAATAGAATAATCACTTAAGAGATGGATGAATATTTTCTCCTCCTTCTTTGTAGCTTTCCCATCAGCTCCTTTATGGATCTACCAGCTGCTCTGTTTGGCGTTTTTCAGACTGTGATCGGTCAAGATACCTATTATAATGGACATACTCCCTCTTTTAAGTAGTACATGTATATCTCTGGATCTCTTCTAATCATATTTTGACCCGGTGTGCCTGGATTTGCGGCTGATTGTAGTATCGTGCCATCTTGATCTACGCATTCTTTATCAAAAAAAAATCTGTTTGTTCGTAGGTACCCTAGCAATTTCATCCGCCGTACAGTTTCTCCCGATTTCATTGTAACCAGTGACCCACGTGAGAGACAGTCTGTTGTATTTGCTCATTTCCTGTTGAGATTAGCGGGAGCCTGGCATAATTTTGGAATTTAATGTAAGCGTGTCCACGGTTTTTAATGCTGCTGAAGATATTCTTATCTTTAAAGCTGTCTTTGATTTGTCTTGCTGTCTCCATAAAAGCAGAAAGACACTTCAATAGGCAGGTAGCCCGAAAGCAGGTGCCATAGGAGGGTTCTCTGAGAAAACAACTCTGCCGACTCTTCCCTCCAGCTTTGATCTATCTGTGTATATTTCCAGGTTGCCAGGCTCCAGAGACTTCGTGTTCTGATGTAATTTTCAGTGAATGTAATCGATCTAAATAAATAGTTGGGTATGAAGTAGTATAAAGCGGATGTGCATAGAAGACACTACCAGCTTGTCAGCTCTTCACCGCCATGCTTGAATAGCACTGCCGGCCGTCAGCTTCGCCAGCTTTTTTGTTTTATCGAACCATAGGCGTTAGCGCTTTCACTGTCATTCAGCAGACTGAAGTAGAGTTTCCTCCATGAATTAAGTACACTCTGTCCATCAGTCCCTCGATCACCTCTCTTTGTCTTACAAGAGTTTGCTACGGTGTTGAAACCTTCTGTAGTTCACCGTATATTTTGGTAGAATATTCGAGTATTACCTTTGTAAGCTTCTCAAGCTTCTCATACTCAAGCATTTTGGCCTTTTTCTTCTTTCGTTTGAAAGTACAGCTTGATTCCCTCTTCAGCTCTCGGTATCTAACCCCCACCACAACGTGTTGTGGTTGAGCGCAACCTTGCGATGTAGACTAGCTGCTTTCTCTTCACTGCAAATCAACATTTTTCATCGTACCAGCTCTCTTTCTGGCATTGCCGTAAAACCAATTGTTTTCGCTGCGGCGGTACGTAGAGGTTTAGCATTGGCCGCGATGGGTACCGAAATCCAAAGTTGTTTAAAAGAAGAATTCGACCATGTGGGCCCTTTCGGCACCGTCAATGTGGTTCCCGAAAGTTTTGGGACGTTTTGGTAGAGCCGTGTTCAACGGCTGCATTTTTACGCGTCCAGGGATCCGAGGCTGAATTGTTTTTGCTCCTATTGAAAGTGGTTCGTTGGTTACCTACTGAGCCCAGACCTTTCGGAGATCGGAAAAATGGGAAGGAGAACTGAAACGATCGACTACGGCAGAGCCCCATGTCGCAGCAAGTAACTGATACACCCGGAGGTGATACACCCGGAGGTGTACCGGTATCCGGGAGGCTCCGTTAGAATACAGTCAGACGCCCCTGGCTGCAAACCATCCAACGGGCATGGAAACGCTTGACACTCTGGATTTGGGGGGAAGAGTATGTCCGACACCCTCTAGATCTAGATCCGTAGTGTTTAGTTGGTCTAATGGGCCACCTCTAAAAGTATGCGATTCCTGATTACGCACTCAGAATCTTCGTTCGAGAGAAGCTAATTGCTACTCAGTTGGCATCTATATTCCTCTTGACCGTACCCTACACTTGGCTTGACCTCGAACGTGGGACGCGAATGATTTTCATTTGGATTAAATTTTTGCAAGATCCTTTTGCTAAATCTTTTATAAAGTTGCTCCACAGCACCGAAAGTGTCTCTAAGGATGCGCATTATCCACTAGAGTTAGCGTGGTGAGAAAACGATCCACTGTTGCTCGAATTACCGGCTCTGCTGGGCCACTATGTCGACCGAATATTGGATGCATTCGCCCACGCTGAACCATTTTTCTGTCGAGGCCCTCCTCGAATTTATGTTTTGCGTCTTGATGTTTATCTTTCAACAAAGAAGAAATATCTCCGGTTTATACTAAGCCGCCGCCGAACGGCCGATGGAACTTAATGGGAAGCTTTTTTCATTTCATGTCAGGAATACACAAGGAAGTTGTGATGTTCCCTGCCGAAGGGTGACCGGAACATTTTATGGTCAAACCAAGACTTGAACTCTGGCCGTCAGACTGGAAATACGCTATACTAATCCCTCGGCTCAAAGTCGTAGAACCTTTTAAAAATTGTTCCAACATATTTAATACCGTTAAAATTTCTTCGTTCTTAAAATTAAAATTTTTTGTTACCTTCTCTTTTCTTCCAGAACTTGTACCTGCCACTCAACATACATATTTACATGTAAACACAAATATAGATATTTACATACTACATAACCTCAAAATTAAGTGTTTTTTAAAAGAGAGCGTCCAGCAATGGACGACTACAGCAGTGTTCCAATGCTCTCCAATAGTGGCTATACTAATAGTGCCAACAACAACATCAACAACAACATCAACAACAACAACAATACCACCGTACAAACACAACTACAAACACATCATCACAAAGATCAAATGCTAAGTGCTGGCAATGTGCCAGCTACGCCCTTCATCTATGAACTGCCTGTTAGTCACAAAACCAATAGCGGCAACAACAACAACAACAGCCATTTGGTTAAAAACTCCACCAGTGATTACACCGTCTTCACCAATTGCATACAACAATCCACATTGCTCGATCAACGTACCGTGGATGTGAGCAATATCGATGGCGTCTCACTGAGCAGCCTCTGTGACCTGAAATTTCCCAATTCCCCAATGGCGGATAGTAATTTTAAGAATATTTCACTCATTAATATCGAGGCTAATAATGTTTTGGTGCCTGCTAAAACCATAACAACCAATGAATTAATTACCGATGGCAATGATGGTGTCGTCGAGTCAACCTTTGCGAATATTTTATATGTCAAGGACGATATCGTTATAGAGGCGAAGGATAAGCAAAGTTGTGGCGTCGGCAGTGGCCGTGGTGGCGGCGGCAGCGATACAGCGCAGGTAACACATGTGACGCACTATTTGCCCCTGAAAGTGAACAATCCGCCAGCTGTTGGAGAAGCAAAGTTTTCAAAGGCCACAGTCACGGTCACGGCTGTGCCTGCTAATGCTGCTGTTGCCGCAACAAGCGCGGTGAGTGCGCTGCCGAATAACAGTATGATGACTGGCATGTCGTACAACACAGTCGAAACGGTCGGGAGTTTAACGAATGCTCCCGCTACGGCGGCTGCTGCTGCTGCAGGTGGTAGTCGTATTGGCCGAGGCGGTGGCAGAGGTAGTAAAAGCAATAGAGGCAGTCGGGTGGCGAGAGGACATGGAAATGGCAGAGGTGGTCGTGCAGCAGCAAATCGTCAGCAGCAACAGCAGGTAAAGCAAACAGAAGCTCTTGGCTCGCCCATACTGGCGTCAGCAGGCGGTAACGGTGAATTTTTTAAATGTGTGAGTCCAGGTAATAATTTCAATGCTGTAATTTTGGCGAATAATGAGCATCACAATAACGGTAGTAGCAGCAGGAACAACAACAATACCACCAATAACACCGTCAACAATTCAGCTGATAATCAAATAACAACAACAACAATTTTAACAACAACAACGTCCCCAACAGTAATGACAGACACTGCCAGCAGCAAAATCATCACACATCCTATCAGTAATTTCATTAGCAGCAGCAATACTAACAACAACAACAGCATAAGCAGCAATCACAGCCAGAATAGCAGCGCCAGTAGCGTTAGGAGTAGTTGTAGTAATAATATTAACATTATTAGTAATAATAATAGCCAAATCAACAACAACAACAGCAGCAGCAACATGCCAACAATCAATGCAATTTGCAACAACAACAACAACCACAATGTACAAAATACAAACAGTATTGCAACAATGAGCCAAACCCGGCCAACCGTTTTGCAGTGCGTTGATGAGGCGGCTGCGGCAGCGGCAGTGGCAGCGGCTGCGACTGCTCTTTCGCCTACTCAGTGCCCTGCCGGCGCTGTTATAATGTCCAATTGTGTTCCTGAAGCCAACTGCAATAGCAGTAGTAGTAGCAACAACAACAACAACAATAATAATAATACATCAACGTTATCACCCAGTTCCATGGAGGCTCTAATAGAGTCAGACAATCAACAAATATCACAACATCAACAACAACAACAACCACAACAACAACAACCACAACAGCTACATTCACAACAACATCAACAACTATTGAACTCATCTGTTAGCATTGACGATGATTCGCTATCGTCTATGGACGATCTGCTGGACGATCAGGAGATAAGCGAAGCCAGTTTCGGTGAGTAACATTTAAGGTTTTTTAATCTTTATTATTATATTATATTTTTCGAATTGTTGTTGGGCAATGAAAGAAAATTTTAGGTTGACAATATTCTGTTGGTGCTGAGCTGTAATTAAATCATAATAAATATCTGCCTGCTGCAAGGATTAATGCTGTGTAAATAAAAAAAGTTATGACGTCATTAAATATTTGCAGATTATGCTGGAATAAAAGTGTTTTAAATGGAAAACAATGCTGGGACATTAAAATAAAAATAAATATAAAAATAAAATAATTATTAGCAAGTAAATAAAAATAAATAGCATAAAATGAAAAGAAAAAAAAAACGCTAAAACTAAAACATTCAAGGCATTAAAATTAACACAAATAAAAAAATTAAATATAACTTTCCGGAGTGTAAAATAATTATTTAAAATATATATATATTGCAATAAAAAATTAACTAAAAATTTAATTTTAATATATTTATTACGAAAATTAAAAAAAAAACTAATTCTTCGGTTTGAAAAGTGTGCAAATAAACGAGAAATAAAATGCAATAAAAAGTATATACAACAAAAATTGTGTAATACGACAATTAGGCAAAAGTGTTATCAATTTAAATTTTCACGTTAAAAAAAAAAAAATAGAATAAAGAAATAAATAAAAAGAAAATTAAAATAAGAAAAATAGAAAAAACACATGTCAAGGTGGAATAAATTTCAATGGCAGTTGAAAAATTTGTAAATAAATGATTTAAGATCTTTTTTAAAAGCATAAACATAATAAATATATATATATATATATAAACATTAAACAGTAAATATCTAAAAAGTCCATGACTTTTTGATATTTTATTTTTTATGCATGAAAATAGAATTTTTTTTACATTTCGTTAAATTTTTTCTAATTTTTCATCAAATGTTTAGGCAAATATATTTACTTGAAATATATGTATGCATATAAAATTGCCGAGATCCTGCTGTGGTTTGGGTCTTGATGTTTTTCCAACAAATTTAGGGAACTACATTTCATTCGTTTATATCAAGCCTCCGAACGGCCAATGGTTTTTTATGAGGAGTTTATTATTTCATGCCAGAAATATGCGAGGAGGACTTCACATTCCCTGACCTAGGGCGGCAACAATCAGAAAAATTCATTTTAATATTATTTTGCCCAACGGTTCTTAAGACAACCTTATCGCACGAAATCTAATTGTCGTTCCCTTACCCATGCTTTGATCTTTGGTTGGAAAGCAGCTTGCTTGATTTTCCACGATCTACCTTAAGCCAGAAGTATGAGTATATCGTAAGCGCGCATGTGCTAGCTTTACTACTAGTCGGTTCGCGGCTCACCTGTTCAGAAGCAGACCGCATCTTTTTTTCTTTTTTTATGACGAGTCCAGCGTTATCCATCTCCCGCCCAACCGACCGAAGGGGGTGCCTGAAGAATAATAGAAAAAGCCAACGGACCAGTGACCGAAAACAGTTCGGACTGTTCTTAACTCGGACCGATGGCGAAAGATCGAGGTTACACTTTCATCTTACACTAAACAGCTACAGATCGGCTCATGAGCTGTGAAGGTAATTCCGTTAAGTTTTGACGCAGCCGTGAAGTATTTAATTGATGATTTCGTTTAGTTTGTCCTTCCGTGAGGGGAGTACTTACGCTCAAACCGAACAGAAGTTCAGACTCCGTGATAAACCTACCTAGCTTCCATCGATTTCCTATTGAGTCCTTGCATTGGTATAATGCTACCGATGCTTTCTGTTTTCAGCTTCAGACAGTTTCCTGTATCAGATAATTTCACTTTTTGCGACAAATGAACGCAAACGCGCCTTGTCGAGAGAGAAACTGCTTCCGGGATTCCCTACCTCTTGGTGAGCAAGACAAGTTCTGCCGCACAGGCATTTGCGGCAAGATCAACTTGGTACCACGTTGAGATGCACTTGCAATAGGTCACACAGAGTACCGAAAAGCTTACCCTCAACCACGAACGTTATATCAACGAACGCTATATCAACTTCCTGCTTCTTCAACAAGTCGTTAACGAGGGTTATTAGCGCTAATTGTTCAACTGATTTATATTCATTTAATGTCGGAAATACTTAATTAAACTTATAAATAATATTAAAGTAAGTGTGATTAGAAGAGCTAACGATATTTGCTCTTACTCCCTCAAAAATTTTCTGTTGCATAATTTTAGGCTGCCCAACCGCACACATGAACTCATCCAATTCGCAAATAACTAATATGTAAACATGAATATCGTTCCCTTACAAATGTTAATGATTAAAATTGGGTATATACCGTTCAAGGTAAAATAATACTTTTTCACTTTTATATTCATTTTCTAGCAATTTATCATTCAACTTTTCTCTTTAATTTCACATTTTCTTATTTGACCCAATTTAAAAGAATTTTAAAGCCTTTCATCCTTGAATTGCAATAAAATCTGACCTTTCCTTTGCTGGCGTAGAAAGAGAAAAACCATTTAGGTAAATATACGTAAAGTAAACAACAAAATTTGCTTCGTAGACAAGGTTACATTCTGCGCGTCTGCTTCTGTGGCTGCCTCTGCTGCTGCTGCTGCTGCTGCTGCTGCGTATTATGTTTTGGTTTCAAATTCTGTACGTTTATCCAATAATAGCAATAATAGATGACGCGCCGCTGAAGGGACCTTGCAACGAATGCATTTGTTATTTTTTATGTTGGCCAACAACAAACGAGAATAACTAATGTGTATGGCGTGTTGGCCCAATTCTATTCGTAGCCTCGTACTGCGCTTACATATATTTGATTTGTTGTTAGCGTTGACTTTGACCCATTTCCAGGTGTCGCCAACGACTGCACTGCATCGACTGCGACGGCATGCAGTGTATTTGCAATATGTATGTATAGTGTACAACTGTTTGTTTATTCGCTGCGACGCGCACAAAAAGTGTGTCAATGTCAGCGCATTAAATGCAACTATTTTTTTTATGTAGTGGCAGCGGTACGGCGACAGCGACAGCGACGGCGAGAGTCGAACGTCCGTACATACATTGGAATAGCAGTAGTTTTGTGCATGCGACGGCGAAAGCGTTAACTAAGCCGACTAAACGAACAAAATAACCGAGCGTCCCTCTGCCGCTCAGAAGCGAAAGCAGTAGGCAGAGACGAGGCGCATTGCTTGTTCTTCTGCTAGAATTTGATATTTTTATACGTGCAAGCACAGACATACACACAGGCATATGTATGTTTGTATGCGCATGCATTCGCTTGCATGTCTGAAAGTTTAGTCTGATGAATGTGCATACCAGCGCTTACATGCATAAGTGTACAGTTGCTTGTGTGTGCATACAAAATACCGAATGGCCTCCATTTCAATGCATCCTTGTATTCAATCTCCAATATTAGAAGCACCGCACTGCACTTGACCCAAATTGAATGCGTCATGTTCCAATTACGATTCTAACACAACGAGTAACACAAGTATGCGCTCATAGGCCGACGAGCGGGCGGGCGAGCGAACAAGTAAGTGAATGAGCAAACTAGTGAATGAATGCAACAACGTGTTGGGAGACGCATAATAATGTGCTAGCACTAACAATTTTGTAAAAATCTGACTGGCAAACATACAGAAATTTATTAGTTTTTATACAAATACAACAACAACAACAACTTGTATCTAGTAATAATAAAATTGAACAACATCATTCATTGGTGGGGTGTACAACACCAGACAGTTTGGCTATTCGGCTGTTCGGCTGTCCGACTGCACGGCTTCCTAACATTGGCACGACTGCGACTGTGACTGCGGTGTGACGGAAGGCGGCGCAAGTAGTTTTCTAGTTGACCTTGTGCCATTTTCCGAACAAAATAGAAAATAACAACAAATGCATCATGCTAAGGATAAATGTGCAGCGCTAGCGTTGACAGTGACCGCGGCAGTGACAGTGGCAATGATAAATAGTTGCAGCGCGCATTAGATGAATGAAAATAAAGTGGGAGCAAAAAAAAAAAACCCAAAAACAAAAAAATGAGTTATAAAAAATCGTGCAAAAATTTAATGCAATTGCAGTCGGTCGCAATGCCATCAAAAAAAAAAATTATAAAAAAAAAGAGAAAATACAGCAGCGTGACAGCCTACATGGCTAATAAAGATATGTACGAGTATATACAGCTACATATGTATCACTAGTATCTATAGATGCACATAGAAATGGTTCTCCCTCCAAGCATACGGCAAACTTCAAAAATCACCACACGACAGTGAGACTTTTGCGGCTTGTTACGTTTGACCCTGAATGAAAATGTGGACTGTCTCTTTTTTCATAAACCGCCGCTAGTTCTTATAAAGCACACACACACATATATATAAATATGAATAGATATTTGATGTGCGTCGCTGAAGGTCACCAACAACAACAACAACAATTAGATAAAAGTTGTAAACTATTTTTCATATTTTTCTTTTGCTTTGCGTAACTCAAGCTCGCTGTGGTAACTCTAGTTTAGCTACAAGATTTCATAATTTTTATTGCTACAGTGTTGCAAATAATATCTATGTTGGTGTATATGTATGTATGCTTGTTTATGTTGTGCTCCATGCACCACTAATTAATATGTGCAACATTGGTTGGCGGTCACGCGTACGCATCACAGCAACCGCAGCAGCCACAATGTCATAGCGTGGCATAGACATATGTACATACAACCTATGTATGTATGTAGCACATACATACAAGTGCACTACTCATAGACACAATTGGATGACATTGATAGATGTCACAGTGGCTGCACAGCTTATGAAATGGCGCATTTTGGCGGTCGCCGACGCAGTCAGTCTGCGTGGCGTGGGCTTTAGGTGCATATACACATACATACATATGTACATATGTTATAAATGTGTAACTGCGTAATTTTATTTAATCTACTTTTATGCCGTGTGATTGCTTGCATATTTTTACATACTAGATACATATGCATGCACATATATACATACTGAAATATTATCCGTAGTTGGGTGATAGTTTTTCTTAAAAGATTTTAATGTATCAAGTTAAAAACATAAAACTTATGAAGTTTATTACTTGAGAAGAATATTAAAGCCATATTTAGATCCTCAAATCACGGAGCTAGGTACAGTAATCGAACATAATGCAGAGCAATGACCTTTTCAGTGCTTTTACAATCGCCGAAATAATAAATATTGTGTGATATTTTCAATGCTTCATAAATGTGTCTTTCCGTGTGTTAAATAAGTGGTATGTGACAATCTATTT